AACTAGCAGATTCTGTCTGTTTGGCTATGAAGTAAAAATGAAACTAAAAACTAGAGGACAGAAGAGATGCCATTGGTCAGAATATAGAATGAGGCATGAAAGGATTCATTAGGATTTGACACTAAGGAAATATAAGAATCAACAGTAAAGACTAAGGCTGATATGTCAAAAGACAAAAATATCTCCTAAAACTAAGATGTCTTTCTTACCACATGAGTGCACTAGAAGCTTGATAGGAATGCTTTTTAAAATAATAATAATTTCTACAGGAATGATGACTCACTTCTTGAAACTGAAACGTGCATAAAGGATGCAACACCAAACAAGAATGTATGTATATAATAAAGTGCTTGCATTTTTTTTCATGGAACATTGAATGTACTACATAATATAAATCTAATTATGATATGCACAGCCAATGAATCCTACAATTTATCTAAACTTTACCATTTCTCTTTAGAAAAATAAAATAATTAAAACTTCATTTATTTTACAGAAAAACAAAATTGGACCTGCGCTGTAATGCTAAATCTCAGAGCATCAATCAATCAATCACTACTCCTTCAAAATCACGATCTGCAGATTTCAGCTAGCATTTTCTAACGTACTCCTTCAGCCAGGAAACATGGTTCACAGTGGATCTTCTATCATTAAAAAGGTTATAAAACCTCAGCATATCAGACTATTTATTCACTTGAGAAATTATGCAGAAGAAATGAGTAAAATTAGCAAAAAAAGAAAGTAGGAATTTTAGCAGTGATAGTTGTTCTTGTGAGGTGCCATCAAGTCGGTTCCGACTCACAGCTACCCAATGCACAAAAGAACAAAACACTTTTGTCCTGTGTCATTCTCACAATCATTGTTACACTTGAACCCATTGCCGTGCCACTGTGGCAATCCATCTCCTTGGGGTCTTTCTCTTTTTCACTGAGCCTCTAGTTTATCAAGCATGATTCTTCATAGAGCTTCCCTTATTTAAACTCTGCAAATTAAAACATATTTTAGGCAACTGAGAGATTTCAGATATGTAAATATGCTAGTTTCTCAAGACAGAAATGTGACCTTTGACAAGTTTAGGATGCTTTCACTTCCTTAAGTATTAATCTATAAAATCCTCTCAGCTGATAAATTATTTAATTCTAAAGTCCAAACAAGTCTCTTTAGAAAATAATGGTTTAATTACTGGAAAAGGGGGAAATATTGTTATTAATCCAACTACATGACCTTCTACTAAAAGTCAAGAAATATTATGGTGAAAGTAAATTAAAGTATAATTCCATTAAAATGATGATACATTACAAAGGAATTAATTCTTTTTTTGATAGATTTTTATAGCTATTTATAAGCCTGTGGGTTGACTTTATTGCACTGCACAAATATTGTTTTCCTTTGAATTATCCTTTTTTCATTAAACAGTCCTGCATGCTTTCCCTTTTATTTATTTTTTAGGAATGAATTCTTAGCATCAAACATTTGACACGGTTTAAACAGAAAAAAATTTTTAAAATGAATGAAAATAAAAAAGAATGTTCCCACACAAAACAACTGGTCAGTTTGGTTTTCTGAGCAAGAAAGAATCTAAGTATGAATATTATCATAACAAGCAAGAACAGAATATTAAAGGCAAATGTAACTCACAAAGCTAGCATAGCTATGAGAAAAGTAAGGCCGCAATGATGATTAACCTAGTGCAAATATATGTTTGTATCTTAATCATATTTCTTCATTCTGTAGTTCAAAATATGCAGGCAGGTCTGCTATTTTCTCTTCTAACTTTATATTAAGGTGTAAGTGCCTTCAACAGTCATCATAGTGAGCAGTTTTAAAGAGTGTTCTTAGCTTTTCTAGTCTGTATCCTTGAAAGTGTTCATTTCACTTAATGGTTTCCAAAAAAGATTCACATTCCTTTCCTAAGTATCTCCCAGCACAGAATGGCAGCAGAACAAAGGTTGGCTAGAAATAATAAACCTTACACATACAAAGGACTTTAAAAAGGTTGTGGAAAAATTCCATTATCTTTTAATTCCATTTTTTCTATGAACTTTTTAAAGGCCCCTTGTATTAAAGAATACAAATCTGAATTTTAAGAAAATATATTTCCCGTATTATTTTTGAAACAATAGCATGAGTTCTAAATTAGAAAAAAAATTATAATTTTGGTTCAACAGTATGCTACCACAAACCTACCAATTCAGCACAGTTGCTTATGAACTCTCCTGAGAACTACACTAAAAAGGAAATAGACTATATTCTACTGTTTAATACAGAAAAGTGAAAATGATTTCAGACATCCCCAGAGTATTCATGCCTCTGTAAATGACAATGATGTTGAACAACAACAACACAACCAGTGAAAATCATATTTAAGGATGAGAAGCAAGTTAAATTTACCAAAACTCACCCCTGAAACAAAGGATGATTGTTGAGTAAATAAAATTCATCAGTCGTCCTAGATTGAAGCCCCCAAAGTTGTAAACAAAATATAGAGTGCTCTTTTGTTCATGACATGTAATGAACAAATTACCAAAATGTGTTTTCTCCTCAGGTGTCAGTTTTTCCCTCTTTTAGTGACTGATGGCTCCCAGTGTTATTACAGAAACAGATTGATCTTTTTAATGAGCCAGTTTAATAGACTCCAAAATCTCACCGTGGCTGCTCATCCATGTCAGACCATATGTACCAACAAAACGTTCAGTAAAACAAAACAAAAAAAAATGCTCTGCTGTCAGACAACTCCATACCTTATAAAATTTCATATCAATGATATGGACACAGGAAAATGTATATGCAAACAAGATGCAAAAAAAGTATGTCCCCCCCAAAAAAAAACACCGTAGAGGGCCATATTTTCTTAGTTCTGATCAAATTAACACAAGATACAAATGTATTTACACAACATACTCTCATTAGCCTTCCTCTTAACTCTGAGGAAACCCATTATACCGTATACTTCAGGATTCCAGTTGAATAAGCATGTTCCATCCAAAGATGGAACTGACTCTTCTGTACATTCTGACTCTACTGTCTATGTATAACCAAAGGGAAAATAAGACCCTTTTTTAGAATGCTACCTGACTGTATGCACCATGCAACACACACACTACAAAACATTAAAATAAGAATGCATCAAGTTTTCATGGCAATCTTGGCACCTTAATGCTTACCTAAGGATTCTTCAAGGAAAGACTAAAATCAAGGTATATTCAAATATAAAACACTGTTAAAAAGCTTGGAGGGAAATGACTGGAAATGCAGATCAAAGAAATAAGCTTTTATAGTGCCTAGTCCCAGTTATTTAGCAGTTAAGATTTCTAAAATAAGTTATATCTATTTCTAATTTTGCCTGTAGGATTATCTTTAGATTTTTGGCAGTTATCTAAAGCTTTCCCTGTTACTTTCTCATCTCAAATCCCAAATAAATTTTATTCTTCCCCAATTTTCCAACTCATTTCTAATTCTTTCATCATGCTATTCTGAACTAACAGAGCTGAAACATACCAATACCTGTACTCAGTACTAATTTTATGCAGGGTAAATGGATCAGGATCAGACAGGGGTATGCATCATCTATTCTTAGGCCACTTCTTGCTTTCTGGCATCATGCGGACAGGCAACTCAGACACCAAGATTATGCAGTTTTCTTAAAAACGAAAGTGCTAAATGCTCTATTTACTCTTAAATATGACCAAGAAAATATGATTTGCAATAATGAAAATAACAAACACCACTGGTAAGTCATATATGAAGATGGGTCTATAATATGTAATAAGCACTCTAAAGTTTAACCTTTTGTTTTAATGATACAAAGTGATCACAAGAAAGTCCTTGTCTACAAAGGAACAAAATTCTGGAGGTTTTAGTATAAAATCTGCTTAACAGAGGGTTATGTAATAATGATATGTGAATTGACTAGCTTTTAATAACATTCTGATTTGCAAAGCAGCTAATGCATTTATTGGTAGATAATGTGGGCACAGATGGATGTTTCTGAGCAGCTACAAGACTCCTATGGTTCCAGAACATGGTTGTGGCACAGTGTCACCCTCTCAAAGAATGCTAAACCAATGCCTATTGAAATGTAGAAAGAGAGAATGGATGAGTAAAAACAGGAAACAAAGCATAGAATAGACACTTTTTAATGAAGTTTCATTTTAAGGTTTTCCATATTTTATAAATGTTATGCAAACTGCTGCAATAAGACTTTACATTTCTAGATTAGAAAATACTTACAACTGTGGCTGAGGTATTTTTGAAAATTATTTTAAGAAGGACATGGGAAGTTTCACGCCTATGCCTTACTCAACTACTTATAAGGATTAATCTTAAAATCCTCAGTTACTAGAGCAGTGTGCCTGAGAGAGTAAATATTGGCTGATGAGTAACATTTTTCAGCAAAACCATTACTTATTTGGTCTGTTTCTTAACTCTTATCTCTATTAAGTTCATCTAGCTTTCCAGGAGTTGTCCCTTAATTCACATAAAATCCAAACAGCTACTGTACTGTGTTTATTGAGTAACACATAAAGCCCAGCTTTTAAAACCATCATACTCTAGATCTGTTAAAAAAGAGACACAGGAAAAAAAAAAAAAACAATGTCAACAAAGAAGACCTGTAATAGCAAACTTAATAACACTGAAGGGTAAACTATGTGGTTGGGTTGAACTGTGCAATAAATGAGAATTTGAATAGGGACTATGTGACTAAGAATCAGCGTGGGCATTTGGGACACATGAATATCATTCATCTTTGCCTTTTAGTTGTAATACTACAAGGAGCAAGGATTAATCTGCACAAAAGCCTAACTAAAACAGGTGCAAAAGCATCACCTTGCACAACAAGCAAGTCCAGACCACAACAAGAGTTTCAAAACAGTCATTCTAGCTTATTACAAGTTTGCAAAAGATATAGACTGGTAATTGAAAGGTAATGTGAGACATGTCTTCATACCTGTGGCATGAGGAGACGACCCCGGGGAACCCAGAGTTCTCCTCCCTCTCACCTGTCTGGAGTTCGCCTCTTCCCGTTTTCGTTCACATCGAGAAGCAGCTCTGAGGAGTCAACAGGTGAGGTGGTGCTGGCATCCAGAAGCAGCTGTTCATGCTGGGCGAGGTACTGGGCAGGGTTCTGTTTGGCCAGTCTTGCGCAGTGGAGGAGCTCGCGCTGCAGCAGAGGCAAGTTGGCCTGCAAGAACATGACAGAAATAAAAGGATGGGTCAGAAGGTCCCTTTCAACCAGTCGATCTAGTTCACTTTTCAGACAGTGGTTGAAAGCACACAATGAACCCATGTAAAATGTCTCTGGACTGGGATACAGGTAACTAGGTAGTCTCTCCTTGGGC